ATGCACCACAAGAATGCATACGCCCCAGAATATACCAAGAGTAATGCGTCCACAAGACACAAGAACATAGGACGAAAGTACGATCTTAGAAATGCTAAGAACTAAAAGAAGTTCCAAGAACACCACCGCTTTTAATATATATTTATAAAGTTAAATTTGTATGATAATCATATGCGAAGTTTAAATTAGATTGAGATTATGCTTTACCCGATTTGAAAATTATGATCGTCAAATATTTATTAAGTATTTGATCGTCAAATTTTTATTTGATTTTGGCGAGCACTAGCTAAGTATAAAAGATTATAAGGATGTGGATTTCGAGAAAATCTAGTTGAAATAATTCTGAATGCCTCTTGCTCAAAATGATCAAGCACAATTTGCATAATATGGAGCTCACAGCCTACTCGAAATGTATCTGCACCAGTTTTTTTATTGAAAAGAGAAACTGCACCTTTTTTATTAGATGACATATATGCTGTATTATCTGCAATCCACACTATATATTTCATAACATCAAGACCTTCATTTTGAATTGATTCAATAACAATATTAGATACAGTTTCACTATTACATCTAAGAATATTTTTAAGATGTGATATTACTACAATAGGGCTTTGTTTTAATTCATTCCAAGCTTGATAACATATTACTAAATTCTTTGTTTCACCATGACTAAATTCATCGACCATAACTCCAAAGGCTGGTGCTTGTTTAATTTGAGAAACTTGTATAATATTATGAAATTTTGAAACATCATGATGCCATGTATGAAGTGTTGAAGTTGATATCCAGTTACAAGAAGACTCACCTATTAAGAATTCATAAATAATTTTTGTATATTCGATTGTTGACCTCATTGATATATTTCCTACTTGTGAAATACTACTGGCAAGCCAAATAGTATTAGATGAATATTCTCGTTTATTTATCTTTTTAATTTTATTTCTAAATGCAGTATCTGTCATCATTTGTGAATTTTGAACCAAAGAACGGATCTCTGAAATGTGATGTAATTTTTGATTATATAAAATTTTTTTTTGTGCCCGAAGTGATTGTGTTTTTTCAATCAATTTTTTATTTTGACAGGTAAGTCTTTTATTCTCCAAAATTAGCCTATTATTTGCATTTTGTAAGGATTCGTTTGATAACTAGGATTTATGAAGACTATCAGTAACATAATTGTATGCCTTTTTTTGAAGATATGGCGATAAAAGTTTGCCCTTATCTTATCCTTTTGGGTAATGCATAGTTGTAAGAAGATGATTAGCTGCATGTATCTCTTTATTAGATAGTTGTTGAACCAAAGATATTAATTTGATTTTCTGATGTTCTTCTTTTGAAATCCCATTATCATATGAAATATCATTACTAATGGTTTCATTATTCATAAGCTTCATTAATACTTTATAAATATCATTAAGCTGTTCTTGATTTAAATCTAATATTAAGGCTTTGATTTCTGCAATAATCTTATTGTGAGAGATAGCTTGACGCTTTTCTAAGCTTTTTCGAGCTGCTTGTCGAGCTTGGTAACGTCGATTGCTTGATCTGTAAATTCCCATTTTGGAAATTTACTAATTATTACTAAATTTAGATGCAGAGACCCAAATTCGTACTGTTTAAAGTAACCAAACCTGGTAAAATTAATAACTACTTCCAAAGAACAAAGTTACGTTAAAAAATTTTATATTTCAAGCAAAAACTTTACCAGCTGGCAAATGTCTTCTTTTTTTCTAATAGTACGCAATATAAAATTAATTTTTATAAAGTGTTGGTTCGAAATTTAAATATTGGTATAAGAAAACTTTTAATGTAACTTTGTTATGTATATGCTTAAGAATAGTTTTATATCAAAATAATTAAAAAAAGTTACGTCATTCTGTCCTTGCATCTAAAAATGCCTGTATCACTCTTTACTATTTAAAACTTATATAAATGTGATAAATTACTCTGATCATTATCTCAATCATTAAATTCAATAAAATCGATTACTAATAATTTTATTAATGATCCACACATATTTTTGATCTACATAGCTGACAGCCCACCCCAACGCCACAAGGTGTACTCAAAGGATCACAAGATTACAACCTCTACATGGTGTAATCTGAATAACCAACTACTAGCGTCAACCACAATTAAATATATCAGATATATAGATTATTCATAATATAAAAATGCTTAGATCGCGTATTTATTACAATAGAACAAGAAAATGTTTATCCAGAGATTGCAATTTCGCGAAATAATTAGTGATTAACTATTTAACAAACGTAAAAATTTTTATTAATATTAAGATAATCGATTAGAATGTCCTTTTTACACTTAATTTAGTAATAAAATGAAAATACAATTTAAAATATGAAAATAGGACGTAATAACCTTGATGGATTCCAGTGACGTACCGTCTCTTATATCCGGGTATTTACAAAGACACAGAGATATACATGATATACGTTTCTCGTTCAACTTTGCCAGCTTCAATGTTTTACGCCAGATATTCTTCAAAATATATGTATGCTATTCTTCGAGATAGTATCCAGATATAAATCGAATATTTATCCGTAGAATATCCCGGCCACGACTTCTGAAGGATACGAGTCAGTAATTTACGGTATTTAGCTTCGGACATTAACAGCACCTGTTTTCGTAGTTATATACATAAAAATAAGTATAAAAGCATAGCTAATCCTACCACTACGTTAAAAACAACCGGTAATTATAACTTCATATTACTAAACTAAATCATTAGAACATTAACTCTTTATGATGTAAATGTGTTATTCGGAGAAGATTAACTAAAAGCAAAAATGGGCTAACTTTCATTTCAAAAATCTTATTTTAGTATAGTCATGTGTAAAACATTATATATATATATATTTTATTATAACATACACTTATCATATTATAGGCAGGTATATTCTCGCACGATTTTAAAAAACATATTATTCCAAAAAATGTTCAAGTTTTTTGATCATATTTCTTGCGCCAGTAATTAATATGTTAAAAGAAGTAATTTTGTATAAGCACGCTAAATAAATTTAGAAATCAATTCTGGTATTTTTTTAATGAGGTGATAAAGCGATGCAAGTTAGCACAGACGCAAGCTATTTATATAATTATATGTTGTGTTTAAACTTGTATGAAGCATGAAAAAAAGATAACGACCGGAAAATTACATATTAATCTGCTCTGCCTATCATCAATCTCGTCAATCAATAGTTTGACTTGTATAGATTGTCATAATAATTGTTATTATACCTCATTTAGAAATAGTCTAGAAATGATTATTCTTTAGGAGTAAAATGCTTTGGTATTCTGAATTACCGAAAAAGGAAATTTGCTATCAGAATCTACTTTCGCTATCGGAAATTTTTTGAACATTCTAATTTCTCTAAAAATAACAAAAACTGGACACTTCGGACATTGAATAAACAATCTTTCCATTACTTACTTAAACAATTACATGCACATAATAGTAGTTGATTACTGTCAAACCTCCCTAAATGCAACTTGTAAGGATCAGACTCTTAACAATTCGCATTTAAGGAACAATAAGAAAAATTGAACTTATAAAAATTTAATATATATTCGGACCAAAGTTAAAAATTACAATTAGAGATATTGGATTTAAGAGTTGAATTTATAGGTTCTGATTGTATTACGCACTAATTTATTTTGACAAACATTTGTATACAGAAAATTACGATTGAAATAGATGGAGCATAGTTCTAAATAGGAAAATTAACGTGTTATTTTTGTTATTTAAAGATTATACTTTTCGAAAAGCAGATATCACGTTATTATGCCAATTTTTTTGCCGTTTATTATCATTATGAATCTATTAAAATAAGCCTTGTTAAAATTCTGATCATTATAAATCAATAATACGAATTGCTAACGCCCATTCGACTACTCTTTTTTTTTTCTCATGTATTGTAGACTATACAAATATACGTATACAGATTATGTATACATATTTGTTTTCACATCTTCACATGATATGGCGCTATTTAATTTTACGTAAATAGTGCTAGTGTCATTGAAAATTGAATTCCGTAATGCGTAATATTCCAATTTTTTGGTGTAACAAGTATTGCATATAAAAATTACCCCGATTACTGGATTAAATTCAAACTTTCACCTTTCATTCAAATTTACAATTCATATTTACAAAGATGAATCCAACAAATAGTACTCGAAGCACTCAAATTTTAACCGAAAAAATCGAACTTGACAATAAATTAGATCCTCATATTTCGATTGAAGATCAAATTGCTAGTCGTTTTAATAATCATAAAGTATATGCTGTATCCTCCAAATACGATGATTCTAAAAAAACTGTTATTGAAACACCTTCCTGTCCAAATGGATTTGCTGCCGCTATTATTCATGCTTATAATTATCATAAACATTTACGTTTAAATCCTGATGATGTTTGGCTTACAATTTCTCAAGGTGTTAGTCATCATATTAATTATAATCCTGAGAAATTTCGTGATAGATTTGTTCAACATGAAGGAAAAAAAGATATTCTTGTTCATGCTGGTGATATTCTGTCTAATTATGAAGGCGATTGGCCTGAAGTTGTAAATAGACTTGTTACGAAAACTGATAGTCATGTCGAAAAAATCGATTTAAAGGGTTTGTTAGAATGTAATTTTTCGACAACTACCCCAACCGCTTTAACAGCAAGTCGTATTGTATTATTAGATACTGTTAAGGCTTATTTTAGGTATTTAGTTTCTACTCTTTGTGGAATTCCAAAAGTTACTCTCGAAGGAACTCTCGAAGATTGGATGAAACTTCAAGAAAAGGTTACTCATTTAAGAAAATTAAATTTAGAATTAGATTTTTGGTTAGACCGTCTTGAACCTGTCATTTGGAATTTAGTTGCTACTTATCGTGGTGAAATTGATCATGATTTTTGGGGTAGAATCGTAAAGATTGACAGAGTTTTTGGTTCTGGAGGTGGTACTTTTGTCACTGGATGGTTAATGAATTTCTTTCCTTATGATCGAGCAGGAAGACCTTTATCAACTAATAGTTCAACAAAAATTCAACATATTCCAGATGGCATTGTTGGTGTTCCTTTTCTTTTGGATGGGTTAAAATTAAAATTCATTGCTGGATTTATTGGTGCTAATCAGGAAATTCTTGAAGGTTCTGATGGTGAATCGGTTGTTTCTCCTGTGATTGGATGGTCCATTATTGATAATCCAAATGATTCTGAATCTGATGAATAAATTTTCAAATTTTATGTAAATTTTTTTTTTTTAATTTTCTAAGAATTATGGCGGTTTGCAAAAAGGTGTGACCCTGTGATTTCGTGATGATGATGGCAGAAAAATTTCCGAAATTTTAATTCCCTATTGATCATAATTTTCGATCAATAACGTTTATATGTTATTCAAAATCTTTAAAATTCTCTAAGAATCGAAAAATCTACTAGAATCGGCTGATTTCTCATGATTTTGCATGACATTATGATCTGCAGAGGTCACACCTTTTTGCAAACCGCTATAATAACATCGACTTGATCGATAGTTTAAGAATCGACTACTACTTAAGATGCCGCTGACCAATAACTTCATAGTTATATACTTTCGTGAACCAATTTAATAAAATAAAATTCTCCAACAACCCTTATACATTGCGCTCAGATTTTACGTGCGAATGGTTTAATTTTTTGTAAGAATGGCTTGAACCCAACGCGATCATGTTTTTGCCAAAGATAGATACAATATAACTAGCTTTAACACTTTGAAATATTTACAAATTTATTAAAAGTAGATAAACCAATTTATCTTACATGAATAAAACCAGCAACTACATTATATTTCTTCAGTGAAATTAACTTTTCCCGTGAAAATGTCTTTTAAAGTTCTTGGCAGGTTCAGCCGAGATTCCTTCATCATTTTAATACTATGATGCCCTCACATTTTTGAGCTTGTTTTTGCAAGAATTACTTGCTAAATGTTACTCACTCTTTTTGCTAAAAAATTGTCCCATCTTTGTGAAAGTTTATTGATATGATCACAGAGCTTTTTACGGCACTGTTTTATTATTGAAAATATTTTATAGTATTTATAAAATGTGGTGTGGACTGACTTTGTCTACTTACAGAATATTACTATAAATGATACAATAAAAATTAAGAATGTCTTTCTAGTCTTTACCAGGTTTTTGGTTTTTCTATTATCTTGATTTTGTGCTGATCCACGTGGAAACTTTGTACACTTACTTCGCCGATCCAAATTGCTCTCTACGTTCGGGTCACGTAAACAATACTTAGAGAATTAAGAAACCCAATATTTTCACATGAAAACACTTCGAATACCTGGTACTTGAATCATAAAATATAGGTTTAAAAAATTACAATATGAATGTTTTTTGTTGGACCTTGGGATAATATTCCTTGATTTCTCAAGTTCATCATTTTATCTTGTAAAGAAAATTGGATAAATTACCAATATTAACCTTGATTCTACTGTAATTATTTTCGGCAAAGATATTCGTCTTGTAGGTAAGGCAGAATTTTTTTTCGGCAGTATTGGTGGCGATGACAGGTACAGAAAAGTTTTGAAATAGGTCAATTTTCTTATAATGCCTTTAAATGTATCAACGACCCTTGATACAACCGCATATTAGCAAGCCTGACGTTGGTGTTTTATCTTCTGATAGGTATCTAAAATCCATGTGGTATAGGAATATTTAAAAAACTGTAAAATATAAGCAAAGATTCTGCCGTTGATATATTTGAATATTGATCTTATAAGTTTTTGAGATAGTTAGCTAACTTGTCACTATCAGATCTTTCGTAATTATTATAATGTTTAGAAGATAAATAAGGTTCGAGGGTTCTCGAGTTATAAAATAGAATAAATGCAGATGGCGTGTCTTGGAAATAAGCAGAAATTTTCTCATCTAGAAAAAAAAATTGCGTTAAATTTTATTAGCTAAAAAAAAAGGTTATACGTATGTATTTATGCTTTTGAACTAGTCATGATGGATAAACATAACTGCGTAAAGCAATTTATTATTCTTGAATTTTTGATTGGCTATCGAAATATTTTACTATTGCCGAGGGAGTTAAAATCACGCTAATTGTGCCTAACATTACAATCCTTATCATTATGCTTTCATGCAAGGCTATTTTTATCGAATATCAATATTCCATATTGTTAACTTAATTACTTTTTTTTATAATACTAATCTGCTAAAAAGTCACTTAAGTAGCTGAAAAAAATTCGAGAAATTAATTTGTTGTAGAAATTCTCGTGCTAGTTATGTTACGTAGTGGAAATATTGTAGATATGATATTTGCATTTAATTTATCATTTTTATCACCCACATAGAACAGGCATTGTCTTCAATACGAACATTCTCCACGCCATCGACTTGTGATATTTTTATTTGAAATTTTATTAGAATTAAAAATAAATTTTATTAACGTGATTTAGAAATCGCAATTATTTTAATAAACTCTTGATAAACTCAAAATGAAGCCTGCAGTAAGTTTCTAATTTTAAGATTTATATCTTTTCTATTCAAACAAGACTAGATTTCTGGTTTTTCTTCCAATTTTATTTACAAACTACCTGCCATTCTAACTTTAAATATGTCCTTTTACTTTAAAATTTATCAAACAGAAATAAACTTTCACATAGCAAATCTTATTTTTTCATTTGCCTAAAAACACATCTATGTATAAATTATGATGATATTTACTATAGCTTCCTATTTAAAAATTAGAGGATATCCGGATCGCATCTCTACATGAGATTATTCAATTTAATAAATTCGATCATTATGATCAAGAAAAGCTTGATTGATTAATAACCGTTGTCCTTTTTTTTATTAAAAGTTAATCATTATATTTTAAATTCCAATATCTAAACATTGGTCCTACCGTATACTACCGAATAGAAGCTACCCCCGAATAAAAGCTACCCCCCTCGATTTTGGATTAAAAATTTGGAGGATGTTATTATGGTTAATAAAATTGGACCCGATTAGAAGCTACTCCCTCTTTTTAGTCCGAAAAACTCTCAAAATTTTGGCAGCTTCTATTCGGTAATATACGGTAATTAGATTCAATTTCTGAACCTAAATCAACCGGAGACCAGAAACTTCAGAAATTATGTAGATAAGGTTCGAGAACTTTCGCTTCGCTTCGTTCATTTCTAGTCAATTACCATATCGACGGATTTGTAAATAGAAAAACTCATGAGCCGGAACTCTGGTCAAATTTGCAGATCATTTGGCCTGGTTTGAAATTATTTGACTTCAAAGCTGGCCAAATGATCTGCGAATTTGACCAGAGTTCCGGCTCATGGGTTTTTCTATTTATCAAATTCCACAAATCCGCCGATATGCAGAGTAAAAACTCGCAATTTAATTTTAATAATATTAAAAACAGAGGAATGCCTCAATTTGAAATTTTATTAAATACTATAACATTATTTTAATTTGTTTATTTATTGTGGCAGATTAAAATGAAATCGGATTAAAATGAAATTTTTCTATTTTTTTAGGAAAATTTAAAATTTTTTGGGGGACATTTTTTAGGGTTAGGGTTAGTGTTAGAGTTAGGGTTTAGAGTTAGTTTTATTAATAAAAGAGTATAAGTGGGTTTTATAAGCTTTAAAGATGAGCAAGAAAGGTCCCCAGTTTCATTTTAATCCGATTTCATTATGATCTGCCACATTTATTGATCCTCTAATTTGTATCTTTTAACGTGTTTAGTGATGTCATCATCATCAACAGACACACTATCATTTACATGAGGTGTATCATTTATAACGTCTTGTTTACGCTTTTCACTAAAAAATCGTAACAAGTATAGGTAAATAGCGTTCACTATAAATGCAGGTGGAAGACTACCATGAATTCTAATATTAAAATGGAAAATACCTTCCATGAATAAAAGCAACAGCATGGCTCAGTCGGAAGCTGACACAAAACATGTCTTTATTAGGAGCCACTTTTCTAACAAAATGAATTTTATATGTATCTTCTTGTAAAGGATGACCTAAAACTGCATTGATCCGCTATGCAGATTCAAAAAAATTAGCAAATGAAATACTCGCATTCTCTGAATAATTCAATATTTTACCTCAACAATCTCGCGCTCGGGAGTATCACTCTTAGAGAAGCAATAGCAGTGGATCATTGGTAGCTCTAAGTTTAAAGATTTGAACAATGCCTCCTTATCTTTCCAGAGACCTTTAAACGCATCTAGTTGATAAAACCAGATCAAAATCATAAATTCTCAATTTTTAATAGTACTTAAGAAGATGATAGCTATCAAATTACCCAAAAATTCTATAGCTGTTGCCGGTAGATTCATGACAAAATGATTGAAATTACAAGAGATCTGTTTTTGTAATGTCGAATTACTTTTTACTTTTGATGTTTTAGATGATTCTGCATTGTCATCATATGCTTTTTGTAGATCCAACACGGCCTTGCATATGAATAATTTTCCATCCAAATTATATGGATAAACTTTATCGTGTACCTAACAAAAAAAACCCCAGATTAAGTTATATTACACATTTAGTTAATGGAATGCAAAATAATAATTAGAATAATTATTACTTTGTTTAATTTAATGTTTTCCATAAGATAATGATATGATGCAGGATTTAAATCATTTGCATACACGATGCACCCTTTTTTAGCGGCTGGAATTGCAAATGGACCAACTCCAGCAAACACATCACCTATATAGATTTAATCGACATGAATAAGTATGATAAACACGAATGCCAAAGAATTAAATGTTTCATGTATACTAATAAATTTCACTTACATATATAATCACCCTTTTTAAACAATGACAATAAACGGCTATGTTCAGTATGTAATCGCGAATTCCAATACACTTGTGAAAAATCAAAGCGAAATCTACAATTACTTTCTTTCTAAGATAACAGAAAATATATAATCAACATTGAAATTTGATTTTTGTTGCAATTAAACTATAAAGAATAGTTTATAACAAACCACTTCTGCAATCATATTATTTTCTCCTGCCAAAACTTCCATCTTGAAAAATCGATAGGTCGTGTCTATCATGTCTGTCTTATTGACAACGGTTGTGATCTTTGGATTTTTCTAATTAAAATTTACAAAATTAGACATTTGTCTAGTATTAAGAAAAAAGATAATGAAAAAAAAAAATATATTTATATTACATCAAGAATGACTTGACCAATTATATATTTCCATGGGAGAAATTCATCACGTAAATTCATGTGTGCTACGATTGAATAAGTAAAGATCTATTAATTAAAAATAAAATTACAATTTCCTTACAAACAAGAAGTATTCTTACCAATATGACCAACCTGCGTAAACGATGTTGGTGATTCAACACCACTTGGTAATATTGCTTTAATTATATCATCTTAGCATTCAGTGTACAAGTAGTTTTACACAGTTAAAATATTATCTGGCGTTTTTTTAAAAAAAAAAATCATAGATAATTATAAATATTTACCAGCTCCCCAATAATCATAATTCAATTCAACTGAATGCCGTATGATACCAAGTCCTTCATTATCTATGAAATTTTTAATCTCGCTAGATATATTGTCTAGTTCTATACAAAACAGGTAAAATACGATACTATTATTATTTGTATATAACAGAATGATCCCGCGCAGCAAAAGTTTAATATAATATCATTCATTCAAAATTAATGTTTGAATGTACCTAGACAATACCTAGACTTTCAATTTTAGGATTCAACAAGACAATTTTTGTATTCGATGATTCGGGATCGTTCACAACATTTTTCAGTTTTGGTTGATTGAACAAATCTCTGTTCCATTAAATGCCAACAAAAATTCAGACAAAAAACGAAAGCAAAAATGTATATAATCTTTCGTCAAACTTACTTGTTTAACACTTTTAAGAACTTTGCTACTGAGTTTGTAGGTACTCGTACTCCAATAACTTCAACTGTACGTCGGAATATTTCACGATTAAGTACCGTTGCTCCATGTTGAACTGGTGGTAAAAACATTTTTAAAATATTTGTCGAGAAAAAAATGTAGATCTTATCGTCATATGCACATCAAATTACGTAAAATGCACAATTTAAATATTTTTAGATATTTTAATTTTATTTATTATTTATTTTTTTTTATTACATCGATATATATATATATATTTATTTATTTATTATATAATACTGTAGTCTAATTTTTACAAATCAACTGGTTTCCTGCCAACCATCAAAAACATAGGAGTAAAAATTCCCAATTTTCCACCTTCCACGAGACACTCAGCAGCAGTTTCAAGTACATATTGAGTTTGAAGTGAGCCGTTAGGTGCTATGCCGAATGTTTCAAGGCAGCCAACCTTAAATTATTTAATATATATATATATATATGTATATTAGAAACGATTTAATATAGAGAATGAGAGAACATTAATTACTTACCAAAGATCTAGTACAAAACTTGCCAAATCTAGACATACGAAAAACGGTAAAATAATCACTCAAAGTTTGAGCATCTTTAAAATTCCCCTCAAGAGGATAATACCAAGGTATGGGGTCATCATTTATGGCTAAATCATGTGCCATTTCTATTTCAAAACCAGCATTTTTGAGTGCTTGCAAGGCAACATGGGTTGGAAAGAGTTCTGGAATACCATCAGCATACTATTTGAAAGAATATAAAAGTTAAATATTAAACGGATATAAATAATTCATAATTAGCATTAATTACCTCAACACCACGAATGATTCTTCTGTGTTCAGGATTATTAGGGTCGTATTTATCTGTAGTACACCATTCATAAAAAGCAAACAAACCACCAGGTTTTAAAACACGAAAAACTTGAGAGTACACTCCATCTAATACAGGTGCATGACAAGTAGCTTCAATTGCGTAAACAGCATCAAAAGAATTTTCTTCAAAAGGCATTGCCATAAAATTTCCTTTAACAAATTCTGTTTTTTTTTCTAAGCCTTGTTTTGCAGCAGCTTTCTTTGCTCGAGAAATCTGATAATCGTTATTATTAACACCAGTAACATGAGCACCTGTAAATTTACAAATCTCACGTGCTGGACCACCTTTTTTACAAAAAAAAAACGGAAAATATTTATTTCAGAAAAAAAAATTTTTTTTTATAAGGTAAAAAATTAAAGGTAAAAAATTAAAGATAAAATTCGTACCAACACCACAACCAACATCCAAAATTTTCATATCGGGTCTTACATTCAATTGCATTGCCAAATAATGTTCATGTCGTGCTATGGCATGATAAAAATTTTCACCGAAAGCAAACCTACAAAAGTGAAAACATTCGCCCCATCCATACTAAAAAAAAGAATTCGTAAGAATAAGAAAGAATTCATTTTTAATTGACAGGATAAAGACAATTAATTTACTTCATAAAAATCTGTAGCAATGTTATAATAAGAATTAGTCATATTAGTATAATTATTTTTCCTCGCTTCTTTATCCTCTTCGGATTCAGTCATGGGATCTTTTCCAACCCAATAGCCTAGGTAATTATTCACCACAGTTTCAAAAGCAGTTTTATCCTTTGACAAAATGGTAGATACTAAGCCATTGCGAGACTTCTCATGGTCATGCAAAGTTTTTGAGAAGGCCAAATCATTAGCATGAGATTCTGGAACAGAGTCAGTAAGAATGGACATGTTTTAGAGTGTAGGTTTGAAAAGTCGTGGCGGTAAATGGAAAAAGTGACGATAAATAAACTATTTATTAAATTTTAAATCTGTGCAACGTTATATTGATATAAAATAAGCATGATAGAAACTTGGTCTTTACTAATTGATCCATAAATTAGAGTCGGAAATCGGGTTAGCTTGCCGATTAATCATTATGGTTTAATCAGAACGATAAATAAATCATTCGTACATAATTTGGGGAAGTTTCATTTCGAGAATACACTCATCGATCTCCAATCTGCGATGCTACGTTATGTTGTGAAATGATTCACAAAAAAAATTTTTTCAATGTTCAAGTAATGATTCTCACACAAAATAATTGATTCTTTTAATCGATTTTGTCTTCAGTTTGCTAATCGGTATTAATTCATTTAAAAGTATTAAACTTATAAAGGCAATTAGATAATATGTAAACTAAATAAATCGTGTTCAATGCTGCAATGTAGTGCAAAAGAATTGAAGCAATTCTGCAATTAGTTAGGTTTTTGTAAGATTGACGTAACGTAAGGTTGGTAACTTTAACGTTTAAAATATTCGAATACTTATATAAATTATGTAATAACAGCTGAATGATGTGAAGAAAAAAAATTGTAAATTTTAATTACAGAATTAGACTTCATCTCAGCCGAATTCATGTTACTATCGTCTAATCTTTTCAACGGCTTTGGACATCAATTGGGCGTATGTTCAAAATTGTCAATAACTAATTTGATATGTCAAATTGTAGCGCAGTTTTTTTTTTGTCCAATTTGCCCCACGATTAACGATATAATTTAGATAAGATTCTTCAGGGGCTACACTAGTGTATCGAACAATTTTTTGTAACGGTAACGGTAACAGTAAACTTAAAAATCGGCTAAGTCGATTATGCTAGGTCGATCATTCGTAGACTGTATACCAGTGTCTGAAATTGGGTTGCGGAGCTTGCGGACTGCAAATGATTTATAAGTTTCCGCAACTAAAATCTGAAATGCATATGCAGTTCCGCAAATAGATTTTGTGAATTTGCATATAGAAATGTTCGAGTTTGCATTTAGATATATTCATATGCGCAACTAAACTCATATAATCCGCAAGTGGGTTTTTTATTTAGTTGCAGGCCCGCAACTAAATTAAAAATTGAATTTCAGGCATTGCTGTATACCATTACGGCGCGTTTGTCAAATTTAACTAATATTTGGTCCCCAAATTTAAGTTTTGGGGATAAAGTTTATTATTGATTTCTTAAGATTAAACCCTGAAAAAATTTTTTTGGTTCTCCGATCTATAATAAACAATATGTCCAACCTATTTTCCCATAGGTCTAACCCATTTTCCCCACTATCGAAACCCATTTTCTCTAGTGTCAACCCATTTTCCTCACTATCGAAACCTATTTTTCCTATTTTCTCACAATCGCAACTCATTTTAAATTTTCTGTACAACTCATTTAAATTTATCATACATATATGTAAATATACATAATTTGTAATGACTAGTAGTAACTTTGAAAGCATTTTATGTCCATATTGTGATAACAAGAAATTTAAAAATCAACATGGTTTCAAGATACTCCACCGAAGAATACACTGTAGCACAAAAGACATAAATATTTCTTTGAATGAATATTTTTCATGCCCACTTTGTCCAAATACAACCTTTAAAAAAAAAAGTGGATGGTGCCATCATGAAACATTCAAACACTATAATTATAATATACCTCCCAATAATCTTTTAGTTCTTTCAGATATTCATATTGGTG